AGACAGGGGACAGACCGACTGTCTCGATCATCTGTATGGATGATCAGGAGATTAAGGGATCCGATCAGGAGAGTTTCTATAGACTATCGGATTTATGTTTCAGAGCAGTAAAGTAAGAGACGACTATGTCTTGTACACGGAGAACAGAACTGATATTATTTTCTTATTGTTCGTGAATATTTTAATGATATCTCCTCTTCCGCCCCACACCTCAAACCAGCGCATTTAAAAAAGTATTTAACTTTATTGAATTCTCCTCGCTGTGCTGATTTATTAAAAAGGAAAAGATAAACGGGCTGGATTTTCATCGAATCTGTCGTATTAACATTGTAAATCTGTGACCTTGATAGTGCGGACTGTTAATTTAACATTAATTTAAAATGTATTATACATTAATTTATTTATACTGTAAATTTATTTATAAATTCATTTAAAACACAAACTGTAATTCATCAAATAACACCAACTGTAATCAATTTAATCATATCAACTGTAATTAATTTACAAAGCCATCTGTAATTCATCAAATAGTACCAACAATAATTAATTTAAAATACCTGCTCAAATTATTTGAATAATACCAACTGTAATTAATTTAACATACCTGCTCAAATTAATCGAATAATACCAACTGTAATTAATTTAAAAATGTCAACTGTAATCAATAATTCCAGCTGTAATTAATTTATAATACCAGCTGTAATCGATAATTCCAACTGTGATAAATTAATTTAATAATGCCAACTGTAATTAATAATTCCAACTGTGGTTGATTGCTAAGTCCCACTGGAACAAATGTAATAATGCCTGTAATTAATTTAAAAATGCCCACCATAATTGAAAATGCCAACTGCTATGACTTAAACAGCGGCTTAATACCAGCTTTCAGTGTGGGGACAAGTCCCCCCAGTGCAGTCTCACTGGGTGGGCTTGGGGACTAGCAGATACCCCTCAGCTGTGACAGCCTAGACTCTTCACCTGCACGGGGTGAAGTCGGGGGAGTAGAGTCCTGTACCCCTACATTCCTGGAACAAGTCACAAATCTCACCACGCTCCTGTCGGGATCGGCTCACATGGACGCAGAGCAGTTGGGAAACGTTGTGTTTTGAAGTAAGATCAGTGCTGATTTGCCAGAAGTGGCAAATTCTAATTCATTTGCCAAACAGTCATATTGTAGTTCAGGTGGGCAGCTGCATCAGCATGCGTAGTCTGCAAAGGAGCAAGTAACAGATCTATTCCTTCTGAGGAGAGAGGTCACACCTGAGGAAGGCTTCACAGCCGAGACTGTGTGTTCTCTCATCTCTTTTCAGCAGGGAATAAGCCTTTACTTGTTCCTTTGCGTTAATATTGTATTAGCAGAATAGCAGTCGGAGTATCGGGGCACTACAACTGCTGACTGACTTCTGGGATACATGACCATCTTAGACAATCACTCGTTTTATAACATGGATATTGTATTGTGTATTGCCTTGTGATCTGCACTGTCTGCACTTTGCCCTGTGTGTCTCCTGTCTACAATCTCAATGTCAGTGCCCTGCCTGTATTTGCTTTGTGGACCAGGAGGAACGATATTTCGTTCCACTGTGTGCTTGTATGTGGCTGGAATGACAAATAAATGTGAACTTGAACTTTAATACGGGGGGGGGGGGGGGGGGGCATTGTAGTTTAAAGCAAATCAATCATGTAATCACTAAACGCTTGATGTCCTTTTTATTCTGTTTTGGAATTATTTGGAATTATGCACTACACTACACTAGACTAGACTAGACTACTCTACACTAGTCTACTCTACACTAGACTAGACTACACTAGACTAGTCTACTCTACACTACACTACACTGGATTATACTAGACTAGTCTACTCTACACTAGACTAG